AGCTCCCACAACTTCCGAAGGCAACTTCTGTTCCATTGGTTGATTGTTCTCACTGTCAGAAAATTCCTCCTTACTTCTAGGTTGAACATCTCCTGGATCAGTTTCCACCCATTATTCCTTATCTGGCCTTTGGGTGCTTTGGAGAATAGCTTGACCCTCCTCTCTGTAGCAGCCCTTCAAATATTGGAAGACTGCTATCATATCTCCTCTGAAGTGAAAAAGGGCAACCCAAAACCAGAATTTTCTGCTCTCTTTACTGCAATCTGCATCTTTAAGCATTGGAAGCCATCGTGCAAGACAGGTATACATGTTCATACGGAACTGGATGCAACTTATTTCCAGTAAGTTCCTCAGGACTAGAACCTTGAAACGTTTTTTAAAAGGACTACCGTACTTTCTACAGTGTCATATCCCTGCTGATGGGAAACATTAGAAGAGGCATCTTGGGACAAGATGCAAAGGCTTTTAAATCCCCATCTTCCCTAGCAAGCTTGCACAAAGGGCTAAGGTTACAAGCCAAGTTAAAAGTGTCAGTGGAAGCGTTGTGGAAACAACTCGCTGACGCCGAAGCATCATGAGATGCACAGCATTGACTTCAAGGGCTTCACGCGTTTCCGCACTCTGGAAATAAGACCTGTGTGATCCTGTCTTAGATTTCACTGAACCTAAAGTGGAGCAGAACCAACTTCAGTAAGATGCACGGAGTCAAACAATAAGGATATCTGAGTTACATGCCAATACTTTGAGGGGCGTTTTTGTTGCAACTGATACCAAAGGAAGCATTTCTGAGAATGTTCAGAATGGTAATTGGTCTGCCTAGTTCAGTGATGGTAAACTTATGACACACATCAAAGCTGACACATCACAACCTTTAGGGCGGCAGCATTCACCAACATCCATCAACAGCTATTTTTGAAAGCACATTGCATTCCTGCACGATTTTTGGAGGCTGTGGAGCAGTGGTGAAATTCATTTTTTTTACTATCGGTTCTGTGGGTGTGGCTTGTGGATATGGCAGGGGAAGGATACTGCAAAATCTCCATTCCCATCCCACTCCTGGGGGAATTACGGTACTGCAAAATCTGAGATTTTACCAGCTAGAGGTGGCATTTGCCGGTTCTCCGAACTACTCAAAATTTCCGCTACTGGTTTTCCAGAACCTCTCAAAACCTGCTGGATTTCACCCCTGGTGTGGAGGCCCTATGAGAATGGGATGTGAATTGAATTGAATTGATTATATTTCTATGCCGCCCTTTTCCCCGAAGGGGGGGGGTACAAATAAGGAAAAAAACACGAACAAAACAATGCCACAATTTAAAAACACACAACCATACTATTCGAGGGGGGACAAAAGCTCATTAGCCCCAGGCCTGTCTGAACAGCCAGGTTTTAAGGGCTTTGCGGAAGGCCTGGAGGGTGGTGAGGGTTCG